AGCACCAGGGAAGACTTCCTGAACACCTGCAGGCAACACTAAAACACCCAGTTCTACCAACCTTTGGGACACAGTAGACTGCTTCGAAACAGTAATCTGAAAATGAGCAGCGATACACAGCAAATCATCTTTCCTACATTTATCCAACTGCTCAACCGTAGGTGCAGGCATACTTGCTCCTGCAGCTAAAGTATTAGAGCCTACACACCAATTACTGCCTCGAACAACACTAAATCAAAACAAAAAAGAAAAAAGAACTGAACATGGATATTCCACCATCCACCCCAGCAGTAATCATTATATCTGGAAAAAAATATATAATAACATAATAATAATATATAATAATATTATCCTGGACGAGGCCCCCATTTAATGTTACGAACCTTGAAAGGTCCAGGGCAGATACCACAACATTTATATACTGATTTACTGCTGAACATGAGATATGGTGGAAAAATACATGACCTGAAAATAGGTGAACACATAAACAATAAATGAGAAAAGAACGAAAGAGGCGCCAAAGGAAAGAACAAAATATAACAAAACAATCCCTAATCTAAACCTGATCTAACCAAAGAAAAAGGTGGAAAATAAACCGAAAACTTCGGTGCATCTGGCACCCTAGTTAAACTACCTAGCAAAACAGAAATACAGGGGTTGGCGCTCACGTCTTACCTGGTGTGTCTAGACAGTCATTTACTACGGGTGCAGTGTATATCGCGATATACTGACCTGCGTTCTCTTCCCATAATATCCGTTGTTAAACGATATCTCAGGCAAATGAAAAGGTAGACATACACATCAAAACTAATCTCACATAACATGTGTAGTCCTGAAAGTACAAACAAAACACATAGCACACCACTCAGTTCACAGGCAGAGCCATACACATACTCATTTCGCTAAAGAGCTCAGATCGCTACAAAGAGAAAAGTTCGCTACAGAAAACTCAGTTCGCTACAGAGAGAAAGCATGAATGAACGCACCATCCTTTTAGAAACAGCTGGGCGGCCTCTGATTGGTTCTCAAGCGCCGCCTTAATGATGACTGATGATGACTGACCCGACTCAGCCAATCACAGCAACCTGCGAGCAGAGAGAGAGAGCTAGAGACAAAGAGAAGATAATGAGCACAACAACCAACACGTGCAAAGTACACTAACGTGCACAGAACAATGAGAACCAACACAAAACACCCGTGGAACGTAACAGTTCTTGCTGAAGCTCAAACGTGCTGCGTAACACGAGAATGGACCTCATTGGTTCTTGGTGAAGCTCAAACATGTTGCGTAACATGAGAATGAACCTCATTGGTTCTTGTTGAAGCTCAAACATGTTGCGTAACATGAGAATGAACCTCATTGGTTCGTGCTGAAGCTCAAACGTGCTGTGTAACACGAGAACGAACCTCATTGGTTCTTGCTGAAGCTCAAACATGTTGCGTAACACGAGAACGAACCTCATTGGTTCTCGCACGTCAACATGCTTGAGCTTCCATTTACCACAACTGATGTGTGAATGTCTATGTGTGAATAAAAGCCTAAATTGAATCTGTTCATCACATGAAGCGAATGTGTCTTTTCAGAAAATTGGGACTAAACCGCTCAATTCATACGGATTAGTTTTACGTTCTCTTTATAAACTTTTTAAAGCATCAAAGTGGTAGTTGCGTAGACTGTAAATGGAGGGACAGAAATCTCTTAATTTCAACAAAAATATATTTATTTGTGTTATGAATATGAACGAAAGTCTTACGGGTTTAGAACGACATGAGGGTGAGTAATTAATGACAGAATCTTTATTTTTGGGTGAACTATCCTTTTTAAATGAGCAACAGGACTTTTAGGGCAAAAATCTTGTCATGTGACATCAATATGATACGCATTCTAAAGATCCAGACTGTGAAATTTCTGTAAAACACAAAAAATAACATTCAAAGCAACTCATATGTGAAGTCAAAAGGTGTTCAGAAAGGAAAAGGTTTCAAAATGGCAAGGTTCAAAATCACACCACCAAAGTAAACTGTGGTTTAAGGAAGATTATTGTCCTTGAATTATCCAAAGACGCAACCTTAATCCTAACTTATCTGGTGTAACTTTAAAAGGACTCTGTACACTTTCGTTCTCGTTCAGACTGAGTTTAAATAACGATGAACATATGTCTAGACCTTACTGAGCAAATTAAATAAAGATGCAACTAAATGACTTTAATTCAAGCAAGAGATACCATCTGCTTTGACTCTGCATGTTCTACAATTCAACCCATTTGTATAACAAATAAAATTAATATCCAAACCAGTGTGTCTTTTCGGTTATATTTTTTGTATAGTGGGTTTTATATCATTCATCTGAATACATAATGACGTGCTTTCAAATACATTATGACACTGATGCTCTTGAATACATATTGATATTTGTGTCGATTGGGGCGTGTGATTTGCTGAATTACATGGGCATGCATTCTATTGATGTTACTTACACAGATAGTTATACAGTACCATTAAACATACTGTTACACTTTATTTTAAGGTGTCTGTGTTAGTGTAATTATACATTTAAGTGCTGAGTAATAATAATTAACTTACTAAAGTTAGGGTTTGGTTTAGGGTTAGTTGCATGTAATTATGCATAATTTAGTAATTACTACAGTAACTACATGTAACATGTGTAACAAGGACACTAAAATAAAGTGTTTCCAAACATACTGTAAGCAAAATAAATATTTAGACAGAACATGCTTTTAATATGCTAACACTTTATTTCTTTAGATTATCAGAATGTTAAGCAGTGTCTACACAGTGCCCTCTATGGGTAAAACCAGAACAAGTACCTGTTCTGCTCAAATAAATGAATTAATTTAATTCCTTTATATAAACACACACTCTTTTTCTTCTCTGCTAGAAAAATATAAATTTTCACTGGAGTTCAACAAAAGATCTCACTGGAAGCATTGGGAAACATGATCTTGCCTCACAGGCTGCGGCTGTATTTGTCTGTTGGAGCTCTTTTTAGATACACCGAGTCCCCAAACATGCTTATTAAAGTTTGACTAAAAGCTAATTCATTAAATGAAATCTGTTTTTCTCCAGGATGACATTTATCAATGAATACCTACTGTTATTGTGCCAAAGCACGAGTGCATGGTTTACCATTTTAACAGATTTTGCAGCATAAAAACAAGATATTTGAAGAACATTGTTAACCAAACAGTTGATGGGCCCCATTGATACTATGGGGATACTATGGAAGTCAATGGGGCCCAAATGTTACCGACATTCTTCAAAATATCTTATTTTGTGTTCACCAGAAGAAAGAAATTCATACAGGTTTGGAACAACTTGCAGATTTTGCAGCCCCAAAAAGTTCCACAGCGAAAAACATTTTACCCACCCTATTACACTTATCACTTGAGGATCAAGTTAGCGAGGATAAGGACAGAACATAAAAGAGAAGGAGACTTTAAGTGGCTGGCAACCATAGTAACAGAGTAAAGTGCCTGACTTGGAGCGTCGTGGGAGAGAAGGCCATGACCCATCTCTGTTTCGGGGAACATGGGGAATGAGTTTTGTGTGTGTGTGTGTGTGTGTGTGTGTGTGTGTGTGTGTGTGTGTGTGTGTGTGTGTGTGTGTGTGTGTGTGTGTGTGTGTGTGTGTGTGTGTGTGTGTGTGTGAGAAAGAGGTCAGGGTGATTTCGAAGGGAAATGAAACTACGTCTAAATCTCCCATCTTTCTACTGGGGCGCCATCCTTGAGTCTTCCAGTTGGCTGAATTAGATTTTCTCAGCAGCTTGTACTCATGGGAACTTGGAAGCCCTAGTATTACCCCCTGCCACATCCTACTGCCCGCCACAAGGGAGTAAACATCAGCTCAAATTTTCATTCATCCATGATCCATGTACTCCAGGATAGGTTTTTTTTTCTTCCGGCAGGTTTCAAAATTTGACAGGACTGCCAAGGACAGGTATCTGTGACCGCTGAAGACATGAGTGACTGGCACACCTGTGAAAGCAAAACATATTTTCATGTTTACACACGTTTATAAGATAGGACATAAAGTAGGCATCATTCACAATGCATGTGAACCTGTAATATTAGAAGACTGTAAATATTATCGTGGTATAGTTTAAATGTTTATCACAGGGATTCCAGTGTAATGACTTAACAGTTAACTAACGGTTTGTGTAACCTCTGCATTACATTAACCAGTTGGTTTCTACATTCGCAGAATATTCCTTTATAACAAGTTTAGAAACTAATGTTCTTGAAACAATGTTCATTGTTAGTTAATGCATTAACTAAAGTTAAAAGGACAGTTCAACCAAAAATGTAAAAAAAAACTAGATATTTTGAAGAACGTCGATAAAGATTATCGACGGGGATCTTTAATCTTTATCTAATCTAATCAGAATCTTTAATCTTTATGAAGATGGGGCCCATTGATACTATGGGGATACTATGAAAGTCAATGGGGTCCAACTGTTTGGTTCCCGACATTCTTCAAAATATCTTACTTTTGTGTTCACCAGAAGAAAGAAATTCATACAGGTTTGGAACAACTTGGGTGAGTCATTGGATGACAGAAATTGTATTTTTGAACTGTGAACTATCCCTTTAATGGAACCTTATTGTAAAGTGTTATGACTTAATTGCCATAATGCCTAAAGTTGCTACCTAAAGATAGACTAGCTATGGTTAACATGCATCAACAATCATGAAGAGTCACAGCCTTCCTTTTAGTGATTCAAACCTGTACAAAACGAAATGGAAGATGTATGAGGAAATATAGGACATTCTGAGAATGTAGGCTAATACAACGGAAATGCTTTCGTATAAGTCAAACCTATTTTTGCACTATATGAAGATGAATAGTACACAAGGGCATTATGCGTATATTTCCCATTCCCACCTTCATAAAAAGTGAGTCAAGCCCTTCGCATCATAATGTACGCAGAGCCTGAGCCTGGCCAATCAGCGCCCTCGCCCTGTGAGTGATTCTCTCAAGATCTGCAGCATTGAGCAGCAGAAGCGCTGAAAGACAGAGCGAGCGCAAAGTGACAAGACCTCCCCGTACTGCGCGATAACATTCACACCGATATGAAACAAGAAAAGCCAACACAATTGCGGAAATAAGACGAGGAAAGACGGAAACGTGTGCTGCACTTAAACCAGGGATTGCCATTACTGGATCACTTTATACCGGCACATGTAAGGTCTTGCTCTTGATGATAATCATACGCGCAGAAGCCGTTCTCTGGTCCTAGTCGCGCGTGCAGAGTGGAGGTTGCGCTTGGAAGTATACAAAACTTTTTGTTTGTTTTGTTTTGCATCTGACGTTTTGGATTTAGATTCATTAAAAGTCGACTTCCCGTGATACTGTGGATTTTAAACGCGAAATACGCGGAGGACCAATATAGTGTGGATTTCCCCCAATTTCTTTTGTTATTCTCTTATTTTACTCTTATTATTTATATTATTGTATTTTCTGGAGGAGCGGGGACGTTCAATAAGTTAATTTTAGCGGATTCGACGCAGGTGCTTCGGTCCTGAAGGGCAGAATGGAATTGTTATTTTGACCCACGATATCACACGGTTCATTCATATTCCACAGCTTCGCTTTTAATATTTTTGAGAGCCAAAGACTGTTCAGTGACGCTCATCGCAACACCACTGGAATTACAATCATGAACTTTGTTGTTTATTCGATACAATTATTTTTTGCAGCTCTCCTTCATCTGTCTGCTGTAAAGGTAAGGGCTATGCAATTTGGTGGGTTTGAAATGAGAGATAATATAGAGGAATTAAACCATTCGTTTTTTATTAATGTGTGGTCAGATTACACGCACGAGGACTGAATGCGTCTGCCCAGTGCCATTACACCCTTTATACACTAGGTTACCCGAAGTTTCACGTGGAATGTCCTGCTTAAAAGTTAGTTTCTCCAAACGAATATCTGTCATGTCAGGAATAGCCTAACTATCAACAATGTGGCAGCCCGTCTTGTTCCCGTCCTCGGAGGTACAGGGATTTAATCTCAGTTAAGGCAAATACTTTGCTTAATAAATGCAAATTTCCAGTTAAAGCAGTTATGTGAGACATTAGATCGGCCTATATTCCTACGTGCTGTAACGCTTCACACGGGCCGGTTAACCTTTTCTGTTCTTGTTTAATCTATCTGAATGCAATATCTTATTCGTATAGCCTAATTTCGAATTCAGTCAAAACATTGGCTTTAATGTAGTGCTCGCGATACATTAAGACTTAAAAAAATGTAACCAACTGCTCTCTTGTCGAGAATAATGACAAGATATTACCTGAGCTCCTTCGTTTCTTTGTCTCCCGCCTTATTAATTCATTTACTTGAATAGTGATTCGGCAGTGCACGTAGCCTATATTTGATGTCGTGGAACATTTGTATGAGGTAAATTACCGTTGTTAGTTTGTTTATTTGTTGGTTAGTTGTCCAAATGTTTGGTGCAGAGTATGAAAAATGTATGCTTAGATATGAAGCAGATGGTCTGTGAGGCAAACCGGCGGAGAGATTCTCACGCAACACCGAGAGCTGTTGCGCCAGTCCACCACCTGCAGTCACGCGACCAACCAGATCGCGAGCGAGCGAGACGAATCTGTAGGCGGGAAAATAGGACAGTCTGACTCTGAATTGTAGTAGGAGAATCATTGGCTCTCTGAAGCCTCTGAATGACAAGTTGACTCACTTACTAAGATGAGAGAAGATGATATCCACTTTAAAAAGATTCTAGATAGAAAACCTAAAACATTCTAAAAGTAGAATGCATTCAAACTCCCTTAGCCTACTAGATTCTGAAAGCCCCTGTGGTTCTCAAGGGTCCAGGAGGGGGGTCAGCAAATTTCCAATGGGACCTCAATGACTTAAAATTATTTGAAATGAAACTTAATCCAATTTAATTAAAATTCAGAAAAGGGTCTAGTGTGGGTATCTTTGTTCATAACATTGGTTGTACACCTGAAGGTACTAATATGTGTTCTTTAAGGCTCGATAATGCATAAAATACCAATACCAATGCTGAAGGGTATTGGTGGGTGTACCTTCAAAGGCACTGACCCACTGACAAGCTGTTGTAGCCTACCCCCAAAAGTTAGATTTTTTACAGATTGGTTTCTGACATTGTACCTAAACTGACATCATATTTCTTGCTTTTAATTAGTCCCCTCAGCAGAGATTAATGTTACTATTAATGTAAAACACACAGTAGGCTATACAAAATAATGGAATTGGAAATTAACTGCTGTTTATTATCTATTGAAGCTGCAAGTTTGTGTTAATTAAAAGCTGGAAAACAAGCAGCTTTGTCATCATTGTAGCAGTTCCAGAGGAAATATCTTAGTCTAAATGGCGGTGCCTTTGATTATTTTCTTGGCCAATGGGAGGCCAAAAGGTTGAGAACCATTGCAAACTCCTTACTGATATAATAAGCAACTAATTTGTCTAGATTCTGACCATAGCATAATTAAAGTGCTTTTGGTTACGCAAAACTCAAGGAAATGTTCCCTTTTGAGAGTTTCCCAAGCATTATTATTGGTTTGTTTCAGTGGCGTACAAAAATAGGTCAGATTATAACTTGTTCTGTGCGATCTGTCACTTATAACTGTCACTTCTCTGTCCCGATAGGCTGCCCACATACCCAAAGAAGGGGGAAAGAGCAAAAATGATGGTAAGTCCCTTTATATGTGTAGTGTACATAAATGTTGATGTGAAGCATGTATGATATGAAAAATGTATTTGAAATCAGGGGTAAGGGTGTAGCACCACCTGGAGGACGTAAATGTAACGACAATTCCAATGCAAAATTTAAACCACAACTGTTTTCATCCCAGTTCTGAGGCTTGAAAGCCAGATAATAGGCCTTCAAATACTGTATGTGTGTGGTTCTTCTCTGTTACGCAACACTCTTTCTCCTCTAACAATTAATATCACACTGAGACTGAACTTACATAAATATTTGCTTGGACACAGGATTAGGACATATTTCCCACCCTCAGGTTGTGCTGAGGATCGTCAAAGTGAATAATTATTCTACCCGCAAGCAACCTTGTGTGGAGTCATTGACCATGGCTGTGTTTGTTTATTAACAAAAACGCTGCATGATTTACCCTTGATTTGTCCTCAAGGTCACAATTATTTGTTAGCAGTGGACCTAGTTGTTTGTATAGTGTCCCTATTACGTTTCTGAGGGAACGCGTATTGTTATTTTTACATCATTCCCCATCCGCTGTTATCCATAATCACTTTCCCACAACTTAAATCTCCTATGACTTTACTTAGCATTAAATGAACATATTAAATCAGTTTGTAAACAGAGACATTACCTCAGTCTAACTGGTCAAGAGATACTAAATCAAAACTGGCCACATGCGACTTTGCACTTTGCTAAATAGAAATACAAACATCGTAGCCATAAATGTCTTGAAAATGTCATAAATGAAGAAGTGTCATGATAGGGGCATTAGGTGAAATGTGGTTGGTACAGTACCACCAACAAATTTCTAGCAATTATTAACTTAATCAGCATCATAAATACAGTTGTGTTTGGTTTCTTGCATTCATGGGTGGCATGGAGCGCTCACACAGGGTGGGCTTCTATTAGAGGTCAGGTGTCTGCAGTAAAGCCTGGCGCCACACTGCCTGAGGTCATGCTTTTCCCTAGCAGTCTGCAGGTCATGAGGCACTGGGGTCAGAATGAATGATGGGAAGCCAGCTCCGAGAGGTGCACAGATTGGGCTGGAGTAGGGTGGACGTGCAAGTGGGGCACATGTGCTGGTGTGTGTGTGCCTCAACATGTGTGACATGTCTTTTTTTTTTTGCCCACTTGGGAAAGTAAAGTCTCCAATGAGCAGAACAGGCCTGTGTGAAGGTGTGGGGCAATGCATCTGACTTTAATGGTTGTAGTGGTTTCATATGTCATTCCAAACCTGCATGCTGAAGGTGGAACACAAAAGGGGAAGAATCTTCAGGCTACTCTTTTCATATTTACCATGACTGTTGGCTTTAAAAATGACAGAAAAACACAAATAAAATGACTTATGTGCTACCCTTGTGAAAAACTGCACTTTAGCATGCTTTTAAAAAGGGGACTTATTGCGGATGAAAAAAATATATACTTAAGTGCAAAGTGAATGTAATGTTACAATTAAATACATTTATTATAGTTTACATTTATATTAAATGCAATTAGCTGAACTTTAGAGTGCTTTTTTTGACCCACATAAATGGTTCATATTTATATGTAATTTCATAACTATTGTCTTTGAAATATGGCAAAAGTGTACTGACGAATGTACTGACAAGAATTTATGGTAAACGAAAAATAAACTTAATGTAATTTTTACTTGATTGTCTTGTATTTAAATATATTTGTAATTACACATGTGTAGTGATGAAGTTGCAATTTAGTACATTTAAAATATATTAACTTAAATTGTAATAACAAATAACACGCTAAAATTAAAACTATTACCCAGAAACTTTACTTGTGCTTTAGTATGTTAGTCAACACATCAAATTAAGTGTGCTTATTCAAAGCATGACAAAAGGTTATTAAAACATAATGAATTCATTTAAAAACGTTTAAAAGTGTACTTAATTAAACAGTCATAAAGTACACTTAAGTATCCTTCTATTTCAATAATATCATTATACTTTTAAGATTTGAAGAACACCACATCCAGTATGATTAAGGGCACTTCTTTTTCACAAGGGTCAAGTCTTCTGAAGTTGACCAATAGGTTTGTGTGAGGAACAGACTCAGTCATGGTCGTTGCGAACTTAAAATAACGCCATTAAATGGAAAAGAGCCTCAAGATTCTTCAAAAAATCCTCTTTTTGTGTTTCACAGACAAAATAACAGCATACAGGTTTCAGAATGATATAAAGTAAGTAAATGAAGAGAGAACTTTCCTTTTTGTGTGAACTATCCCTTTAATTTGACCCAAAAAAAATGTGAATAGTGTGAGAATGGTATGATAGTGACTGAACACTTTCGCTTTGCTTGCTCTGTAGTGATTCCTTTCTTGGATGTGTATAAGAAGAGTGCGTGCAAGACACGAGAGCTGCTGGTAGACATCATTCAGGAGTATCCCGACGAGATCGAACACACCTACATCCCGTCCTGTGTGGTTCTCATGCGCTGTGCCGGCTGCTGCAACGACGAAGCGCTCGAGTGTGTCCCTACAGAGACCCGCAACGTCACCATGGAGGTGAGACTGGTTCAATCCAGTGTGTGCAATCCTTCACCCTGCTTCCTATGAAATCATACTTGCCCAACATGGGACAGTGAGGCGGTGTTAACTGGCATGTCAGCTATGTTGTTTACCACTGCACACTGTGTTTACGCCCCGTTTATGTGGTTGATGTTGCTCTTGGCCACGGTCGAGGCCTGGCATTGCCATTTATTCAACAGTGTGTAATTCCTGTTAACTTGAATATTTCAAGCTGTGATTTTACATCATGAGCCCTGAGTTTTCACATTGAAACACAATACATTACAGTCACATTGTATGTAATGCACGAATGTTCACACACTAAGCACTTAATGCACTTGTTTTGCTTATTCGTCTAGGTACTGCGAGTCAAACAACGTGTATCGCAGCATAATTTTCAGATGAGTTTTACAGAACACACCAAGTGTGAATGCAGGTATGTAAAGGAACAGTTCTTTCTAAAATGGAAATTATTATCAAAGTTTACTGACTTATTGTTCGCTGTGCTGTTATTTTTTTTCTGTGGGAACATGAAATCATGACCTAAAAATGACTAAAAGCTGAAAAGTTGACTGGAGCACTATATTCTAAGTCCCTATGCCGGAGTTTTATAATTAAAGGTGCATATTGGGCATCAATTACATCGAAGTTCTCAAGTGTCCAAAATGTCATTGGCATCAAACCTGTAATGGGACTTTTTTATATTTATTTGGAAACAGATTGTAATCTAATATTCTTCTAAAATTTGTGTTACACAGAAAACATAACAGCACAGATCAAGGATGAGTAAATAGTGACTCAATATTCATTTTTAGCAAACTATTCCTTTAAACCATAAAATGTGAATTAAACCTCTGTTGCGTCTGTCTTTTTTTAGGCCAAAGGCAGAAGTCAAAGCAAAGAAAGAAAAGTAAGTTTGTTTATTATCATTATTATTATTTTTCTATGTCACAGTTATGGGTGATTTCAAGCCGTGTAGATGGTGCAGGGCATTTCTAAATACACAGATATAAAACTGCAATGACTGTGTTGATTGACTGGCGATGAGAAGCAGCCAGCTGGACACTGTGCTAGCGGCTAACACTTAGCAGCCAGGCTATTAGCAGTAAAGCTCAAGTGTTGAAGATGCAGTACAGCTCTAGCTGTTCGTCTGGGTTGACCAATACAATTGAGAGCACAAGGTACTTTTAGCAATGTATTCCAGTAAGAACTAGTCGTTCAGAAAAATGTGACTAGTCAGTGGATCAGAGTTTATATTATGTGAATGACTCAGAGTAAGTGCAGCTTTAGCAGTCTTTGCTGTCTGTATGTGAGTGGAGAGACTGTCCTGGACAGCTGAGATGATGTGGGTGTGCATATATCCATCATTGCCAGATTCATGCTGCTTGCATTGTCATAAATGCTGCCTCCCATTTGCTTATTGTTCTGTCAGTAATTTTAGGGAGGTTCACAGGAACTTTGCCTTGTATGCTAACACTCTAAATGAACTCAGATGTCCACAGCGCCAGTGCAGTTCACTTTGTAAACACACAGCACTCCGAGTTTACTTTATTTTCACTTATATGTAATTCCTAATATAAAGTTCCAGGAATTCCAGCTCACAACGTTTCAAAGTCATCTTGCCACTGTTTTTAAACAAAAAGTGTTCATACGTGGCCACTTCTGCAGTGCCATCAATCCTCTGAAGCTCACCCAGAATATCCTTAAAACTTTACACATGCAGACCAAAGGATATCATTGTTAACTAAAACTAAACCTAAAACCATAAAGCAAATATATTTAAAAAACAAACATATATAAATATATGTTTACTGTATATTAAAAAACAAGCTAATTTTATTTCAGCTAATTATCAAATAAGTCAATATTTATGTTTCATTTAGTTTAAATTGAAGTACTAAAATAACTCAAAATAAATAAACCAAAACTTAAAAGTATAAAAAAAAAAAAAAAAAAAATCCTACATTTCAAATTTCAAAACATTAACAAAAACTATAATGGTATAGCAATGATACTAAAATAACAATGTCTACTCTAAACCATTAGCGCACCCTCTGCTTGGCATTATAAAGACATGAATGAATACATATTAACAATTACAAATATGTAATTATCAGACATAATTGTGAGCGTGTAATAATTGCCACATGAACGGCATGGTATTATCAAAGACTTTAGATATACAAAGGCTGTGCACTCATATTACTTATGTATAAGAGAAAGTGCAATGTGCAATATGGAATAAGTCCCGCCTTCTAAATAAAAAAGTCAATCGCTAATTGGTAAATTCGTTTTGAGACGCACTCGTCCAGTCAAGGCATAAGAAACAACATTTATGGCACAGTTCATGACAGATTTTGTTGCTGATTTTAAATATGTTATTTAAATTTGAGTTCGGCATGCAGTTTTGGAGATTACAGGATTCCCCCATTCATTTACATAGGGCTTGGTCCAAGGCCGTAACCAGGGTTTGAAAATTAGTGAGGTCCGGGGTGTTGTGTAAAGAATTTTGCTATAATAATGGTTAGGCCATTGGACCCACATTTCCCCATGGACATTAAGCTGTGTGACCCTTTTTTTGAATGGAATTTGGCATATATATATACATATATATATATACAGGGGTTCAATTTGGATTTAATTATGTGTGGGGTAGTCTCTCACTAGGGGGGTCCGGGGGTATGCCCCCCCCGGGATTTTTTTTTGAAAAATAAACCAAAATGGCACTTTCTGGAGAGTTTTGTGCAAAGAAATATAGAAAAAAGTAGGTCTAGCAAGTCTTATATTTCTGTAATTCACACAGATCAAACACAAATATGCTGACTGAATAGATTGCTAGTTGAGAAACACTGCTTTAATTAATGTTTTTATGATGACTTTGTGAAAGGTTAACTAAACAGCATGAGCCGTCTTCCAGCTGGCCAGTAAGTTATTTGGCAAATTTCATTCTGTAGGCTAACATACAGATCTGTATTATGCTATTGTTTTTGATAGTGTTATACATTTCTTACAGATAATCACGATTGTCATTGCGTTTGTCTTACCGAATGTGGTAGCTTTATGCAATTACAGTTTGTCTATAAGCTTTTTTAATTTTTTTTATTAATGCTGACAGTAAAATGTTGCCAGATATTGCTACGAAAAACAAGCAAAACAAAACAAAATAATAATAATAATCCGAAATAAGTTCAAAGCTTGTGTTTTGGAAATAAGATTAATATATCACTAAACCTAACATGCAACTTTCCACTTTAATAACTTCCTAAAGTGTCACATTAAATCAGAAAAACAGGTCCAGGTCAGGAGACTACTGCCACCTTTCCATTAGGTGGATCTGGCAACACGGAGGCTGCACCCGGGTTCACAACGCGCTCTCAAGCCCCGTTTACTGCGCCAGCTTCTCGCAGTAACATGAATTGCAAACACTCGAATATGAGGTGGTTTAATTAATCATTTAGAGAGCTTGACATTTTATTTTTGAATGTAAAAAAAATGACCGAGGTCCGGACCTCGGTGACCTCATAGCTGGCTACGGCCATGGCTTGGTCTTTGATGCCCGAAAAACAGCTGCCTAAATATGGCCGCCGAGTGAGCAGACTTTACTTGCAAGGGACTTTGTTTTTTTATCATAACAATGCTAAATTGCTGGCTACTTTCGTATATTGTGAACATTAAATATATTGACTTGTATTCAGTGCGTTAAAATCCCTACAACCACAGCTCGTCATGACTCCCACAGCACGCCTTGACACACCCTCAACCCTGTTTCCCCACAACAAAACGAATAAAGTGAAACTCTTGACTGTTCTCACACCCAAACAGTGAAATCAACTTCCACTGAAACGGCCGAATCCCTCCTAATCCTCAGGACAAACTCGAGACTCGCTGCTTTCAACAGGACTTCATCATGACACAACACCCTAAACCAAACCAGTTTTTCCTTTTATTTGTGTTAGATATCTTTTTATAGCAAACACATCTCTATTTCTGGCAGATAACTATTCACAATTTAATGATTGCCATCTGGTGAACATGGCAGCCTGTCTCACAAAGAAAAACTGAAGAAAAAAAAGAGTAATTGCATTAGCATAGCCACGCTGAATCTGTGCCATCAGAAAGCTTTGCAGATCCTCATGGAATAGCAGTGCCCACCATTCACAAATTTTTACAAAATCTCCCACCCTTTGCATGTTTGTTTTTGAAATATTTTTTGGTAATATGTATTCTGCTACAAATAAAGAGTGCGGCAAAAAAAAAAAAACTGTTTGGATTTAAATAGGCTAATACTTAAGTCTTAAGAGTCTATGATTGGATCATTATTATGCACTTAAATAACATCACTACATTTATATCCATCAAGAGGTGGTGCATCAATGTTTGGTCAAGATCCTGTGTTGGCAATGCAAGAGTCCAGCACTCTGTAAAGTCTCCTCCAGCACATCCCAAACACTTCCAGTGAATTTAAGATCTGGACTCAGAGGAGACGATTCATGCCTGAAAATGATTCTTCATGCTCCTCACAACCATTCTTTCAGTTTGATCCATGATGTGTCTTCCTACATGGTGGTTTAAGAAATGAAAAGCTACACACTCCATCAGTTAGGGTTAGAAGAACTGTTGCCAAACATATAACATCCTAGAAAGATAATAATCACTGCAATAATGATCCAATCATTGACTCTTAAGTATTTGCCTATTTAAATCCAAGTTTCAAAGCAGCTTCGCATTAATACACATGAGAGTAACATAATAAATGATGCAAACTTCAAATATGAGGCAAATTCATATTCTGCTGTAAATCAGTGGTAAAAAGACAAAAGTGTCGTTATTCATCTAAATTCAGTTTAAGTTTTGTTCTCATCTGATAGTGTCAGTGCATTAAATCAGTAATATTGCTGAATATTAAGGGCCTTTCACAATGATGGTTGCACTGCTTTCTCCTCCTTTCTGGCACCGAAAATAATAACTGCTTGACAAATTGTGTAGCTCTGGGTATCCCTGTACAGCTATGATCCATCATGTTGTTACAGAAAGGGTGAAGCTGATTGGTTGGTTCTTGTCACATGACCTGCAGTGCAGCATTCGGAAAAGTTGGGGTTATTTTATCACTCCGCGGCATAGACGTGCCTGGATAAAACGAGCGCGTCGCTCTCTATTGCAAACGTGAAATAACGTAAAATAACGAACTTAAAAAACGCGATATGTGAACTACGTGTTGTAAAATAAAGCCACGATTGGTTGATTGATTTTGGGAACAGGAATGTGACCACAATAGACCGTTCATTCCCCTAGTAATATGCCTTAAAACGTGGCTGGTGCAATCTAATTTTAGAGCAAGAACAATCCGTTTCATAAGAGTTGAGTGTGGAGCTTGTCATGTCTCCTCAGGGCCGCTCTGAGGGTTTTACAGCCCATAGTAAAAGCCTAATTTGCTCCGCATATATCTCTTAGGACCTCTGACCTGAGACCTGATAACAGACTCTTTTATAGGATGGTTTCAGTTTTTCTTTTAGGGTGAGGTTTTGCTCTTTATGGCAGCTGTAAGATGGTGGGCTGTGAAGACCACCCGCTTACACTCACACCACAGTTGCTGACCCTTGCCTGCTTCCACATACTAATCATAGTAGCAAGTGTCTGTCGTTAAACCACGTTTTTATTTTTAGCCTTTTAAATAGTAGGTGATCCTGAGACAGAGGCTATTGTTGGTTACTGTGAGCTGTTTCACAAACCTCATTTAGTGCTATTGTGTCTTAACCTGTGTGTTTAAGTATACATAGACCCCCAAAGTATATCTGAAGCCACATAAGCCAGTCCATTGTGTCACATTAAATCAAATGGCAGTCATTTAAGGGAAAAATAGCAAAAGAAGGCTTTTTTTTACCCAAGCAACACATTTATGCGTTTAGCAGATGCTTTGATCCAAAGAAACTTACAAAAGAAGAAAAAAAGCAATTTGGCAATGAGCCAACAATATTCACAATATACAATGTCAGATTTATGAAGTCGTCACCTTTAATATAGAAATTGTTTCAAAACAGCTTCATAATAATAAACAGGAAAGTAGCAGAATTAATGATGCAACACTATAAAAAGTGATCAGTTGACTTAACTTAAAAAAAATGAGTAAACCGTTGCCTTAAATTTATTAAGTAAATAAACTTCATGGTTAATCAAAAAAAAAGTAATATTGACTTAATAATCTTAAGGCAACAGGTTTACTAAATTTTTTAAAGTAAGTGAACTGAACACTTTTTTACACATTCAAGTTCTGCTTAAAAGCATCTGTAGAAGGACACTAGTATGGTTATTCAGCTCAAATCAGTTCAGTAACCATTCAGTTCAGTTCAATAACAGTTCAAAAGTTCATTCATTATGAAACAGTATAGCTTTATAGCTTCAGTTCAGCTATAAAGCAGAAGATTGTGTCATTATTCAGCTCATTTTTTGTTTAAAATGTCAAGTGTCATTTAAAATTGGCTCAGAAAGTAAATGTAGTGTTGATAAAAGCTCTTTCAGCATTTGATTTTGTTCTGATATTTCGTGTCTAATGGAATGGCATTCACACTTTAAGTGTCCAACTGCGGTAGGTTCAGATCAAGGAACGCACCCCGTTAAATTGGATGTGCGGCGGCTTTGTGTATTTCTGCAACTTGCTAGGTTAATGTGAGCGTACAGAGATGGATCAGGTTAGCTGAGAAGGCTAAATGAAATCCGTTGAATGGGGCTAAATGCTGACGCTGTCTCTCAGCACGTAGGCAAGCGGGGGGCGGGGAGTCCAGCGACTCTGGGTTCTGATTCACAAGCTCAAGTTCAGCTCCTTGTACTTCGATCCTTACCTCTAAGCTCCTCAAACACACACACGCACACACACACACACACACACATGCTACGGCTCAAACTATTCAGCTGCTTATATGGACTATAGCGTCTGTCCTTGATTCCTCATGAGGGCTGTCCTTGACACGCTACTTCTCGCTTTAATTGGTTGTGATTAGGGTTGTCACAATAGCAACATTTCAGTAGTCAGTACTTACACCAGTCCAGTTTCACGATTGATAGTATCAATTCTGAAACCACAGCAAAAATGAATAATGAATATGTATATTACTTTATTTCAAATGTTAATATAAATATACAAATTAGGTTCAAAACAGTGGCACTAACGTTCAAAAGTTTGGGGTCTGTAAGATTTTATGTTTTTGAAAGAAGACTTTTCTGCTCACCAAGGCTGTATTTATTTGATTACAAATACAGAAAAACAAGTAATATTGTGAAATATTATTACAATTTAAAAGAACTGTTTTTTTAAAAGAAATGTAATTTACAATCAAAATCAGAATTTTCAGGAGCATTACTCCAGTCTTCAGTGTCACATGATCCTTCAGAAAACATTATAATATCCGGATTTGCTGCTCAAGAAACATTTCTGATTATTATCAGTGTTGAAAACAGTTTGTAACATTATAATTGTCTCTTAACTGTCACTTTTTTATCAATTTAATGCATCCATGCTGACTAAAATGATTAATTTCTTAAAAAAAAACTAAAACAAAAAAACAAAATAAAAACATAAGACTTTGTTTAGTATCAACTTGTTACCGGAGTACTTTTACTTTTGACATCCCTAGTGCTGAGAGATCTTTCTCAGCATGACTGCTCGAAACCTCATTTAGATGTCCTATTCTTGCGTTATTTTCCTTTTTTGCAGAAAACCCAGAGTGGGGAGGGTTAAAAGCCGAAAGAGAGCGAGAGAGGGAGATACGGGCGATCTCAACGCCTCGGCTCACCTGCGCTCGAGCAGTATTTTGCTCTCAGTCATTGGCTTTATTTCAGGGCAGTTTGTTTGCACTTTGTAATCTCACTCAGTCTGCATTTATTTGTACTCATATTCACACTGTTGGCCCAAGGCCCGCAAAGACGAAAGCAACCAAAGGTAAATAAACAGTGGTTGCATGGCTGTCTCTGTCATTATCATACTAATCTGCTGCCACAGCTGGGATGACGCCACGCTCATGTGATCCTCACCTGTATTCCAGCCCCATTGACTTTGATTGTTTCTGACAACAGAAGCTTGAATCTCTTGGAGATGGGCTCTTGTCTGCACTACACTGAAACAAGTTAAAGGGATAGTTCACCCAAATGAAAATTCTGTTAATAATTACTCTCACTCAAGTCGTTCCAAATCCGCAAGACTTTCGTTGATGATGAATGAAGATCTTTTTAATGAAATCTGAGAGCTTTCTGTCCCTCAATTGACAGTCTACGCAACTACCACAAATCATAAAACTAATTCATATAAATTAAGCGGTTTCGTCTGAATTTTCTGAAGAGACACGATCTCTTTATATGATGAACAGATTTAATTTAGGCGTTTATTCACAAATAAACATTGATCAGCAAACATAAACAGAAGCTCAACCGAACGTGCTTGAAGCACGAGAACAAACCTCATTGGTTCTTGCTGAAGCTCAAATGTGATACGTAACACGAGAATGAACCTCATTGGTTCTTGCTGAAGCTCAAATGTGATACGTAACACGAGAACGAACCTCATTGGTTCTTGCTGAAGCTCAAATGTGATACGTAACACGAGAACAAACCTCATTGGTTCTTGCTGAAGCTCAAATGTGATACGTAACACGAGAATGAACCTCATTGGTTCTCGCACATCAAGCAAGCAATTTTTAGCTTCCATTCACCATATCTTATGTGTGCATTGATGATATATATATATTTGAATAAAAGCCTAAATCAGATCTGTTCATCATATAAAGGGATGAAGTGTCTTCAGAAAATTTTCCGACATATAGAAATTTTCCAGCAAAAATTTTCCGACCCGAGTTTAATTCCCAGCTCAAGGTCTTTCGTCGTTCCCGTTCCCCTCTCTGTCCACACAACGCTTTCCTGTCAAAATTTCGACTATCCAAAAAACATAACTTTAAGAGAAAATTTTGACTAAACCACTCAATTCATATTGATTAGTTTTACGATCTCTTTATCTCTTTTTGAAGCATCAAAGTTGTAGTTGCGTAGCTGTCAATGGATGGACAGAAATCTCTCAGATTTCATCAAAAAGATCTTCATTTGTGTTCTGAAGATGAACGAAAGTCTTACGGGTTTGGAAGGACATGAGGGAGAGTAATTACTGATAGAAATTTCATTTTTGGGTGAACTAAAACCTGTTTTGTTCAGTTTAAGCAAGTACTCCTCATAAAAAAATAAAATAAATAAATAAATAGTTTTGTTTTCATAGTATTTTCACTTGACACAAGTGTTGATGTGCTTTACTGCCTGCAGAAATCATTGTGGGTTTAATTGTTTTTTTCTAATAACAGAAAATATGATGCACAGTATGAAAAGACATCACAATAAATATAACGGATTTTACAGTTGTTTTTATTTATAGTAAGTAAGCTAAATAAAACACTGACAAACAGTTTAGTTTTATCTTAAGAAAAAAATATGCTGTCATATAGCTAATTTGACGTTTGTTTATGGCGAAATTAAGTTGCGAAAAGCCTGAAAATTATTCTATTGACCTACACTTAGTACCATTTTAGCTTATGTTTGAAGAAAATATATTAATTAAGTATAGTATTGTCTTTATCATGAACTTTACTTTGTATGGATGTTTTTTTGGAAAATAAATATTTTGATTAAATGTATGGTTTGAACCAAAGCAAAATATAATTTTAGAAAAGTGTACACTAGTTTTAGTGTAGGTGTAGTTGCACTGTTATGAAATTCAATTTTAGATAATGTGTTTGTGCATGAAACCATTTTAGAAATGATTCAACATCGTACTGCTATACTGTGCCAAGCCATTTTTGCAAACATTGCTTTTGCGTCACACTGCTTTCAGTTGTGTATATGTGAAAGTGTGTATGTGAATGCAGCTGTCTGTGTCAGTCCAATAACTGTTCCTTGCTGAATTCAATGTTGCCACTAATCACCATGTCTCGTGTGTGATGGATGGATGAATGAATGGATGAATGGATGAATGGATGAATTCACACACAATCTCAGCTTTCCTTCTGCCACTAATGCTAACCATCTTTAAAACTAAGCAGAAATCAAACAAACAAACACATTTTTTAAAAGTTCATGCAGTCTGGTCCGGTGGAGGTTGTGTGTGATGGCGAGGTGCATGAGTGTGTGTGTGGGTCACTCCAGCGCTGTGCCCAGATCACTAGTGCTTAGATGTCTCTCTGTCTCTCCTTTTCTGCTTCCCTTGCAGCCACTGTGAGCCTTGCTCAGAGAGAAGAAAGCGCTTGTATGTGCAGGACCCCCTCACCTGTAAATGCTCCTGCAAATTCACACAATTGCAATGCAAGTCCAGACAACTTGAGTTAAACGAAAGAACTTGCAGGTTTGTTTATGAACTGTCACGACGTGCAACATGCATCTTCTCATCCAGTCCCATCTGAAGCTCTTTCTCTTTGCATGCTTATAGCGCTTGTTGCATTTCCCCTCTTATATGTGCATGTTTAGGGTGACGTAGCGTGTGTGTGTGTGTGTGTGTGTGTCTGATTTATTGCTGTGAGATTCAACCTTTGATGTCAGAATCTAGTGCATTATTGCCTCGCACTAATAACGACATGTTTTCTGGTGTCAACACTTGGCGTTGAGCATAGATATGATTAATGGACTGAATTCGCTGACATTAACAAGATATTCTGTCAACACGCAATATGACTTTGTGTTCTTGAGTAAACAGGCAGGGATGGTGCATATGTGTGTGTGTTTGTACAGTGCAATTCACACATCCTGCTCTCATTGATTCATTCTATCATGTCAGTTATTGCCATTTTATGTTCACAATGAGTCAGAACTTAATTTGGCAGGAGCACGTGCCATTAGCTCTTCAAGTTTCAGATCATGTTGAATTATACAGTATATGTGAATATAAACGTGTCCATGCTGTTTGTTTCTCATCAACTGCCCCACTAATTTGAACTGTGTGATCTTCTGAGGCCTTTCCTGGCATTCTGTATATGTTGTCCACATTTTATTGTTATATTTAGTGGAGATCACAGCGTACTTTGATCCTGTGGTCGTTCCACCCAAACCAAATTTTCAACGCATTCTCATCCTTTGGCGTCATATAAGTGACGCCATATGACATTTCGTCGAAATCTTACGCACATGGCATCCTTTAGCGTCAATATAACATGCACTGTTATGGGTAGGTTTAGGTCTGGGGTCGGGTTACGGTTATGACGCCTTGGGTTCTGCGTCTCATATTGATGCTAAAGGATGCCATGTGCGTAAGATTTCAACGAAATGTCCAAAGCGTCACATGTATGACGCCAAAGGATGAGAACGGGCTGAAATTTTAACCCCATCCAAAAGTCTAACCTCTGAACATTTTTACATAACGACATAATCCCATACTACCGTACGTAGTCACGGTACGCAACAGAGCACACTGCACGAAATACAGTGTCACACAATACAATGATCAGACTGCCAGCGATGCAAAATAACTGTATCTAGCTTAAAGATGATAACATGACACACTCTCTGAATAAAACGAGATAGACTACAAATCTTAAAAGTATGTTTACTTGCAGATACTATAATATTAATGAAATTAAAGGCCACTTAAGTCCACTTAAAGTGCAAATTAAAAGTATTAAAGATTATTGTTTTGATAATCTTTTGTTGCGCTTTAAATAAGTACACTTATTTTGATGTGTTGATTAAGTGTCCGAAAACATTACATTTCACAATTTTAAAGTATATTATTTCATAAGGCCATTTGTCATGCTCATGCACTATTCATTCTATTGTGAACAAAGTATAGAAGGTGACCAGGCTTAGCTCTGGCTGGTTGTGGGGTTTTGGGTTGGTGAAGTCACAGGCTTTCCTTGACATATATTGGCATAGCTTCCCCTGTGCAGATCTCTAACCAATCCACTGTTCTCTTTCAGATGTGAAAAACCAAGATGATGAGCGGCACGCTGGGCAGAACACTGAATGAAGGAATTTTTTTTTTTACAGCACAGCACTTTTTAAACCTGAGGATGCATTCCCTGGACGAACTGCAAACACTACCCTGAACGAAAGACAAAGAATGAAATGAGGGCAGGAGATATCATCCTAATGTATATTAAGATATTAATATATGAATATATAGAATATATATTATATATATTAAATGACAACGTGTGTCGCTGCTATCACCTGAATTACTACAAACAAGTAAACGAAGACGCTGCTTGGCGTGTGAATGGGATAAATTGCAGTGTCACTGCACCTGGGCCTGTGATTGGACAGAACTCAGTGAGGCAATGCTTCACTGGATCATCCGGCTGTGGATTCACATCTAAAGACTCGGATCGAATGTCCAAGACTTCACTGAGAGGTGCAAACGATAACCTCCACCCCTTTATATGAACAGTTACAGACTGTCAATCCAAGGAGAGGAAGTGACTAAAGACTCTTTCCAGACTGTTCGGAACAGTGGGTCCAGGCACGGGATACGAATGCGGAACTATCTATTTCTGTGATGTCACTCTTACTAGGGTGAAGTCTTAGTCAAAAAGACACCTGTACTGACTAACATCCTATAGGACTTGGTGTGATAATACTAAAGGGATATTACATGTATGTATATATAGAAATAAATAAATAAATAAAAAAAGGACAAAACTTTTACCAAGGAATGGAATCATTCAGTTCACAGCAGCATGTAAAAGAGAACTCAAATATTTAAGGTTCATAACATTTTCCAAAGAGAATATTGCACACAACTTTAGGAACTGTTCATTACCACACAATATCTGTATATATACATATCTAATATCCCTTTATGTAGTTCACTTCATCTAATTTATAATGTTAGAATATGTTCAGTATTCTGTGTATTTAATTTGATCTATTTATATGCAGTGTTATTGTTGATATTGTTTTGCTTTGTTTCCAATCGACATTGTCATCAATCTGAAAAACTGTGGACGGCTTTTATAGAACGAAGGACAAATGAAAAGAGAGACACTTCAACATTCCTGAAAGCGCCTTTTTTGTTTATTTCAACATTTTTGTATCAGCGATCAGTTTGGTGGAGATACGAGACCTGCGGACAAGAACACTAAACATTCTCTTTGTGTGAAAGTGCCAGAATTTTTTTTTTTTTTTTTTTTTTTTTTTTTTTCATGTACAGCCACATTTTCAGTATATTTTCACAGTAATATATTTATTGGTGCTGTTAAATATTAACATCCTTTTGTGTTTTTAGTATAACTATTAAACATATTTATTTTCAAATGATATTGTTTTTTATTAAAGCAAAAATGGATTTCTGTTTGGTGAGTGTTTTTGTCAGTCCACAATTTGCAATTGCACGCACTGACATTATGTCCAAAATGTTGATACATTTTTCAAAAGGAGAAAAAAAAAACTCCTCAATTATCCACTAACTGTAGGATAAAGCATTTGCACAAAAATCCACAAATGACACATTAAGACAAGTTGCTGTAAAGCAATAAAGAATGTCTACTATCAGATATTCCGAAAAAACTATTATTCAATTCAATTCAATTCAAATTTATTTGTATAGCGCTTTTCACAATACATATTGTTTCAAAGCAGCTTTACAGAAAGTGCATTTCAGAAATGTACATAGAAGAATATAGTTAGTTAGTCATCATGTACTAATTTAGGGCATAACATATCGCCGGCGTTGAGTCGTCTTATCACAGGCGTCGAGTCGTCTCATCGCAGGTGTTGGGGCATCTGAAGTCTCCGTGAGAGTCTGGATACAAACTGGAGCTGACGAACGCTATTTACCTCGGGACTAGCGTCCCGAGATAACAGCAGAAAAGCAGATGGGAAATAATTAGCGTAGCTGCTGTTCATTATATTAATGCATTCCATCTGATTCTGTTTCAGATTATAAAACAACTTCTCTAAAAACTAGCTTCTCTTTTCCATTCAAAAATAGTGAATGGTTATTTATGCTGCCAACCTCCAAAAAGGACCAAAAGAAAACATAAAAAAAATTATATGGCCACTATTCCAGGTCTTCCCATATAGCTTTGTATGAGAAAAAAGGTCAAAATTTAAGTAATTATGTTTGCTTCATTTTGTATCAGGGTATTTGATCATAACAACTTAAATACATAAATAAATGGACATGAAATATTGATTTGCTTTGAAATAATTTGATTAACTTGCCTCACCTGACAACTATAGCGAGTATTGTGTAAACAATATGGAGTACACAGGAGGATAAACCACACATTAAATCATGTACGAGAACCGACAACTGAACTGGGAGTATAAATACCAGGCGAACATAATGACAGACAGGTGAAAACCATATGTAACCATAGGGACAAATGGATATACAATCAGTAACCAAGGAAACCAAAACTAAACAGAGTGGGTAAACAGGAACCAAAGAAAACAGAAAGTCCATACAGGAGTCCAAAACCGTGACAGTAGTCTCCCCCTGCCGGAAGGCAAGTCCTCACGCCATAACAGAATGTCCAACTGAGGAGGGAGGAGGCTTAGGAGGGGGACAAGGGCCTGGCGGAGGATATGACACAGGAGGAGATGATAACGGGAAGGACCAGGGCGTCGATGACGGAGGGAGGAGCCAGGGAGGAGACGAGAGCAGAAGGAGACAGGTTGGAACCCAGATTACTGCCAAGACGAAGTCCCCCAGCTGAGTCGAGGGAGGAAGGAGCCATGGTAGAGACCCAGAAGGGCGACAGACTGAGATGTAGCCGATGGAATTAGAGACCCAGGCGAAGCCGAAGAGCCAATGAGACAACGGTGGATGAGGGTCTTAGGCCGTGAGACAGAGGGTTGATTGGTACCATTTTGAGGGATTAAACCGCATGGTGATTTTTGTGTAGGTATATGACCCTGTATTTGAAAAATTTGTGATAGCATTAGATTCAAGGTAGTTTTTGGTTACGGAGGACGATTTTCAAACATATGTCAAGAAAAAGGATAAATGAATTTATCTTTAAATAAATGTAAAATTTTATAAAAAATTTATAAAATTTTATACATTTTTATAATAAAAAAATTATATTTTTTTTTAATACATTTTTTAAATTATAAAAGGATACATTTTTCTCTCTTGTAGTCACTGAACACCTTACCTTGAGGTAGGATGATATAAGTGTTGATTTCTAATGAAAGCTACCATGGATCGGATGCTATCACACATTTTCCAACACTAGAGGTGTGTACCTTCATGAAAATCAAAAAGAAATGTAATCCCTCAAAATGGTACCTGTAGCCCAAATTTGGGGTCCCGTCTCATGGCCTATCTAAGGTGCAGCCAGGGTGCCAGAGGACCGAGGCGAAGCTGGAGGGATGGCAGAGCCCGACTGAGCTAAAGGGGTAGACGGACGAGCCAGGGGATCCTCTTGCCAAGGCGGAGCTGAAGGCCAGTCTCCTGCTCCGCCTTGGCAAGGGGATCCCCTGGACTCCTGACCTGAGTTAGATCCATACAGCAGAGTGGAGTCAATAGAGGGGGAGCCGAGGGACTGAAGGTGAAACACCAGAGGCGGGGCCAAAAGACTGTCTGTCTTTAGACGAGAAAGTGGGATAGGAGGGCTGGGTGGGATCTTCAGAGACACCAGAGACTTGGAGCTGTACGGGACTAATGGAGACGCAGGAGACTTTGAGTTGTGTGGTGATCAGCGGAGATGAAGGAGACTTGGAGCTGGGTGGGACTGGTGGGAATGGAAGACTCAGAGAAATATCCTCTTCCACTTCCTTATAATAATAATTCCCAGAGGCCAGGTATAGCTCACCCTTAGTGGGGGGCACCCAGTGACACAGATTATGTTGCCGGTTCACACAGTTGGTCAGACTCTGCATTGGGCTCATGCACCAAGGTGATGAATGGCTCAGGTGTGGTCTCTGGCACTGGCATCGCAGCAGGCTCGGTCTCCATCATATCATCTGTAAGCGGTGTGAGAGGTGGCTGGCTGGGCTCTGGGTCCAGAGAGGGGCTGGTGATGTCTTCCCCCAAGGGGAAGGTAGTGTTGGGAGATCCACATCTCACCAGCACCCCCTCTGCAAAGATCCCTCGAGGACCATCCAAGGACAGGCATGCCTTGGACCACTCGTTGAGGCTGGTCCAAGGTAATGTGTGAGGCACGCCAGATCGAGAAAATTCCTTGTGGGGTCCTCCAGGGAACGGTCCTTCTGCTCGAGGTAGAGAAGCTGGTTCTTCTGTAACATGTAGTGTGCTAAACAACACACACAAAGAAGGAATACTTTAATTATAAATATAGGCGATCGTTAGGAGTACACAGGAGAATAAACCACACATTAAATCTTACACAAGAACAGACAAGTGAACTGAACATAACAAGGAGTATAAATACCAGGTGAACATAATGATAGACAGATAAAAATCATGCATAACCATAGGAACAAGATACAGTCAGTAACCAAGGAAAGCAAAACTAAACAAAGCAGGAAAACAGGAACTAAAAGAAACAAAACAGAAAATAAAATAATATTCCATAACAGTGACAAAAAATGGACTGCAAAGTTTATGTGAGACTAAACAGACTATTAGATTGCACTGCTGCTGTGGCCATATCTAAAAATATGGATTATTGTCCAGCCTTTTTGTCTGCCCCCTCAAGATACCATTTTCATCAGTGAGATAAAAACAAGTAAAATAATAATAGCTGGCGTGATGATGTATTTTTGTAGGCCAATGAAAAATTTCAGCATCACCCTAGAGAAAAACAACAACTTTCCATTGGCTTTTGGATGATTGCAGAAAAACTCTTGTGACCAACAAAAGTTTATGATTCTTATATGTTTTGATATGATAATCTTCATAAATAAACACAACTTTTATGAATATTGAAGCCTAAATACAATTGCCAGAAGAAAAAAGCTAAATGTAGGCTATAAATAAACTACACAACAGTCCGATGACTTCAACGTCAGCACCATTAATCTTCCAAAGATTCTTTCTGAATCTTCTTCTGTATTGAGCACCAAATTACTGGTTCAAACATTGTTTTACAACAGCCCTAAAATGAAACTGAGAGTAAACTGACCCCATGGGTTAGTTGAACTTCCTTATTAGATCATAAGAGTTACAGGAACAATTTACTTATGAAACACCCTTATTAAGGTTACTGATATAGATTACAGCACTTTTTACAGTACTTTTTACAGTACAATTGCTTTTTAATCTGAAATCCTGACAGGGATTATAAGCAGTGCTTTATTTCCTCTGCCTTTGGTTGTGTCAAATGAATGTGAGAACCTTCAGAAGGAGATATAAATAAACGTACACCTTCAGAAAGCTCTCAGATCTTCTTATGTTTGACTTGTAAATTAACAGTTTACTGTAAAATATTTTTTGTACTAATTTAATCTCCTCAGAGTTGTTCCAAACATCTCAGGGTTATGTAACTCCAGTTCCCAGAGAAGGTAACGAGATGCTGCGTCAATTGCTGACGCAATGGGGACGCGGAACCCGGTGTGTAACTTCATGCTAAAACCTTTGGCCGACGCAGTTGATGACGTCCCACGGAGCGCTCGAGCATATAAATGGGGCGCCAGCTAGACGTCATTCAAATTTTCTGGAGGAAGACGCGCAGGCATGCCTGAAGCATGGTAATGTAACACAGCGT